ATATGCATAATAAAGTTTAGTATAATTTTATATACTAACACTTCAATTTTTTGTCAATTTAATAAAAATAGAGTTTTTATTACTTGGCAACCCTCTTCAAAATTATATTAGTGATGTTATTTCATATATGTTGCAAATTCATATTTTTGCCAACACTGGTAAAAATATTTTTTTTAATTTATGTAAAAAATGTGAAACAGTTGGCATCTCTGCTCAGAAATCTTTCATACAAAAATAATTATAAACCAGTTGAGTATAATTTATATACATCTGTTGACAGCTAATTATAAACGCTCCTTTTTTTGTAGGTGGCTCATGTATAAATGATAAAAATTTTTGTTATACCGTTATTTATATTCCTAAAAGTCTTGCATTGTTCGTATTACTTTATATACTACTAAATTCACACTGATTTGTAGTTGTGAAGTTCAAGTTCTTTTAAGTTTTTCCCAAATAGTAAATGCGTTACTGTATAGAAGGCAGGAACCCACTTCTGACTACAATTCGTAGAAACGACTCATAGACTTTGCCAACTTTTATTGGTCTAAGACAAAAAATCAACGTAGGTATGTCGCTTGGAACGATGTAACAAAAATTAATGGTTTAGATCCTGATGGTCGAAGGTATGTCCGCCATCCAATATTTCAAAAATTTGATACTCGCAGTGTTGGTATATTGACTTGTGAAATCATTATAATTTTTCACTTCTTAAAAGTTTCTCAACATTTTCGTACACTTATTAGAAAATTCGTATTAACTCGTGTTTACGAGCTCTAAATTCTAACTGAAATATTTTCTTTTGTTGTTTAATTCACCCAAAAAAAAAAAAATAGGTTTCGGAAAGTCAGCAACTGAATTGCTTAGGCGAAATAATCTAAAACGCTTTAGCTATAAAATTAAATTTTTCAATTTTGTGTCTCAGCGATTTGATTAATTGTAATGACTTCAAATTCCTAAATGTGTTTAGTGTTCTTTTATTTATGAAAGCCATTAATGTTGCCGATTTTTTCATTGATTATCTAATGCATTAGTATCAACAAAGATAGGAATATATACATACATCCATAAAAAATAATAAATTGTTGGTATGTCTATTTTAAAAAATAAATAAGAAGCTACTTTGCATTTAAGTTCTTTATACACAATGAAATCGGATAGTATGTAGTTCCGCTTTTATAGCTCACGTGCAGGCTAWAGAGGTTTGTCAAGGTCGATAAAATTTCAGGTTAATTAGAATATTTTAACTTCAATTTCGGCTGCACCGAAGCTACATTTCAGAGTTGCATTTATTRAAAAAATTATTGTATACATATGTATAACTCTATTTGAAAACTTAACCGTTTCTGTTAGGTCTATATAAAATAGTTTTCTGGCCTTTAGGTCAAACTAAGGTTATTTGATAAAAAGAAACAAAAAAAAAAAAATGAGCAACAATGTTGAAAACACAAAAACAAAAATTTCCTTGGAAGAGTTTTGAGCGGACCGTTTGTATGGTAATTATTTAGTTTTCTGTGCCGATTCGATTTGAACAATTTATTTCAGATATTGCACCGTTGCCTTGAGCRATAACACGATATAGGTGTTACYGAGAAAWGAGTAGCTACTTAGAAAGAAAAGTGGAAGGAAAATTTCAGATCGATATTTCGAAAACTGTTTGCGTTTATACCGAAGTAAAGACCTGACCCCAAGGCGTTCAAGAGCACAGCAGATCAAATCAAATGCCAGGCATTTTCAATACCAATTGGCAGATGGACACACTAAGCACCTTGGTAAGGCTTGAGGTCCATCTAAAACCTCTGCCGTACTTTGGGTCCTGCACCCGGTTGCAATGCAACTTAACATTCAACTGAGAAAGTGTCCCGCATTCGGGTTCTAACCACAACCACCATAATACTCCCCGAGGGGAGTCCACTTGAGCAGGTTAGAGTGAACTCTAAGAGCTTCTGCTCCCCGTGGTAACAGAATTAAGTTTCCAGTCAGACCTCGCAGCGGAAAGTGAGTGAGATCATACCGCCAATATTTGAACATCCATCAGTCCAGCTCTCTAACCTCCGCGTACAACGGGGATTATAAAATCTGACAGATGGTGATAACTATTATAAACTGACTCAACTCGCTGCGTGTGCAATCCACGGACCGTTGCCATAACACTGGGGTCTAGATTACTGGAACGGGCTCAGCTTTTTTTGGAGGTTTTACAATACGGGTTCCTAGGGASTGTACAAGCGCATAATGAGAAACGAAATGACTAATCAAATGGCTTGGAAAGTGGCGGCCAACTAGCAAACCGGACCAGGAAGTGAAGTGGCTTCAAATAGCGGTAAATTAAGACCACTTTTTGCGGTATTTACTGGTCTCTGTAGACTAAAGTGACCAGTGCGATAAATGGATTCGGTTCGGTCGACGGAAAACTGTCGTTTATGTATCGCAGTGGCRAAGGCAACTGAACATCTGCTCCACGCTTGCAAAGCGATTCAAAGAATAAGCAGTATACACAACGCAAGGACCTATTTGTAAAATAATCAAAAATATTTATGGCGCTTCCATTAACCGAATCCATCGTCAGGCTTCCTTAATGCGCTGCGCTGGGACTGGAGAATGAGTTGTCTCCTTATTAGTTCAATATTTGAAGATAGTTCGCTATAGTCTTACATTTCTATCTAACTATTTAATCATACAATATTCAGTAACTATTTGTGTAGCTTCTGGTCTATTTCCACATATTTTTAGAACAACATTTAATACTTTTTAAAGTGGACTGATGCTGAGGTAAGGTATATCTGTATGGCTTTTGGTGTTTGCCAAAAGCTTCTTCATGCTTAAAAAACACTACGCTTTCATTAAACATAACAAATTTKTATAATTTAGCAAGTTCATTGCAGTATTGTTGTTGTATCCATATCTTCTGTACTTGCACCGAAATCAGGTAAGTTTCATTAATTTGAAGCGCTGACAAGTTTTCACCTGAAATTGCGGGCAATTGCAACACGAAGTGRTCGTGAATTTTCCCTTTCCAGTTTAACCAGCTACAGCGAACACGATTTGCTGCRCCAGTTGCCCAGTTGTTCACATATTTTTAACAACTTAAATAAAGCAGCGAGTTTCACTTGTGCSATCCTGTGATATCGCAGCATCTCCCGCACATACCCAGCCACATAAGCAGAGCCAGCCAGACAAAGGTATAGTAAGAGTGTATGTGTATGCCTGTACTTGCAGCGCATACGTTATATGGACACTTATTATCGTGCCTACGTATCTACAAACATACAMATATACATATATTTATATATATATACAATACATATGTATATATATAAGTAGTTACATTGAGAGCGCGCAGCCAACGCAGTYTTTAACACGGCTCAGCATAAATTCATTGAAGAGTTTACGCGCCCTGGTCACTCAGCGCGTTTCACTTTGCCGCATGCCACCATTATTACTCGCAGTTGTTTTGCGCTTATTTGCTGCCATGCCGCTTGGCGTAATTTGACGTTGTYCATCTGCGCCAATATGGTTGGCGATAAGTGGCGCAGCTAATCTCTGATGTGAAAATTATCGGTTTACAACAGCAATAACAACGCCAACAATGCGCGCATACGGCGCAAAGGGTTTGCAAGGAGTCCTACCATTGTGTACACAGACGCCAAGCCGCGAGCGAGTGAGCGATAAGCCCAATAATAATAACACCAGATTCATGCAGCAACACACATACAGCACATACATATTGACATTTAGTTGTAACTCTAGGCATTCGGACATGAATTGGTATACACGCGGCGACGCGCGCGCTTACGGCGCGTAGAAGCAATGAAGCACTGCACCACAATAAAGCGTGCGCGCGCGCCCGCAACACAAAGCGCGCTACAATTTTTATGTTTATTGCGCCTTAATAACGCGTGTTTACAAACAAAACGCGTCCATGTCCGTCTGTCCACCTCCACTGCGCGGTGCCGGTCACGCTACCCTTTTCACTTTCTACGTTCGCTCTACTGTGGCAAACAGTCGCGCGCGCCCGTGCTCTCACTTGTTGCCACGGTTTCAGGCGCGCCAACTGCACAATCAGTGGCCGACAATCATTGGCGCTGTGTCTGCTGTTTTGGCACTTTGTGCGCCAATAATTTGCGACTGCGCCTGGTGGCTGTGTCTG